TCATTCTTCGGCGCACCTCCGCGCTTCTCGGGACTCCCCGGGCTTCTTGGCGCTCCCCCCCCTCCTCCTCCTCCTCCTCCTCCCCCTCCTCCTCCTCCACCCCCTCCTGCTCTTCCGACTCCTCCTGCTCCTCCTCCTCCTCCTCCTCGTCGGCAATCCTCCGCGCGCCTCTGACTCTTCCCTATCCTCCTCATACTTTTTCTCCTCCTCCTTTCTTCGGTTCTCAGTTCCTCTTCCTCCTATTCTTCCTCCTCCTCCTCTTCATCCTCCTCCTCTTCTTCATCCTCCTCCTCCTCCGACTCCGACTCCGACTCCAACTCCGACTCCGACTCCGACACCTCCGACTCCGACTCCTCCTCCGACTCCTCCGATTCCTCCTCCGACTCCTCCGACTCCTCCGATTCCTCCTCTTCCGACTCGCGACTCCCATCCGACTACGCCCCCGACTCTTTCTCCTCCTCCTCCTCCTCCGACTCCTCCTCCTCCTCCTCCTCCGACTCCTCCTGCTCTTCCTCTTCCTCCTCCTCCTCCTCCGACTCCGACTCCGACTCCGACTCCGACTCCGACTCCTCCTCCTGCTCCTTCTCCTCCTCCTCCTCCTCCTCCTCCTCCTCCTCCTCCTCCTCCTCCTCTTCCTCATCCTCCTCCTCCTCCTCCTCCTCCTCCTCCTCCGCCTGCTCCTCCCACTCCTCCTCCTCCTCCTCCTCCTCCCTCCTCCTCCTCCTCGTCGTCGTCCTCCTCCTCCTCCTCCTCCTCCTCCTCCTCCTCCTAAATCCTCCTCGCACGCCTCCTCCTCGTCCTCATCCTCCTCATTCCTCCTCCTCTCCTCCTCCTCCTCCTCACCTCTTGCACCCTCCTTCTTGCTTTCGGTTTTCCGTTTCTCTTCATCCTCGTCTTTCTCCTCCTCCTCCTCCTCTCCTCCTCCTCCTCCTCCCTCCTCCTCCTCCCACCTCCCCCTCCGACTCCTCCTGCTCTTCCTCCTCCTCCTCCTCCTCCTCAGACTCCTCCGACTCCGACTCCGACTCCGGCTCTTCCTCCTCTTTATCATCCTCCTCCTCCTATCCCAATACCTCTCTCCTTCGATCCTCCTCCTCCTCCTCCCATCATCCTCCGCTGGCTCCTCCCTCCGCCTCCTCCTCCCTCCTCCTGCTCCTCCTACTTCCTCTTCCTTCGCCTCCTCCTCTCCTCCCCCTCTCAATCATCGTCGTCCTCCTTCTCCTTCCTTCTCCTCATCGACCTTCCTTTCCGGATCCTCCCCCGACACCCCCTCCTCCTCCTCCTCCTCCTCTCCTCCTCATCATATCATCATCATCATCCTCGTCGTCGTCGTCGTCGTCGTCGTCGGTCGTCGTCGTCGTCGTCGTCATCCATCATCATCATCATCATCACATCATCATCATCATCATCATCCTCATCTCAATCAATCATCATCATCATCATCATCATCATCCATCTCATACATCATCATGCATCATCATCATCATCATCATCATCTCATCATCATCATCTCATCATCATCATCATCCATCATCATCATCATCATCATCATCATCATCATCAGCATCTCCATCATCATCATCATCACATCATCATCATCATCATCAGCATCATCATCATCATCGTAATCATCGTCATCATCAGCACCGTCATCATCATCATCATCATCATCATCATCATCATCATCATCATCATCATCATCATCATCATCATCATCATCATCATCAATCAATCATCATCATCATCATCATCATCATCATCATCATCATCATCATCATCATCATCATCATCATCATCATCATCAGCATCCCCCTCCTCCTCCTCCTCCTCCTCCGACTCCTCCTCCTCCTCTTCCTCCACCTCCTCCTCCTCCGATTCCGACTCCGACTCCGACTCCTCCTCATCGTCCCTCATCCTTCGATCCTCCCCCTCCTCCCCCTCCTCCTCCTCCTTCCTCCTCCTCCTCCTCTCTCCTTCCCTCCTCGTCTCCGCCTCAACGTTCCTCCTCGTCCTCCTCTTCTCCTCCTGCTCCGCCACCTCCTCTTCTTCCTCCTCCTCCTCCTCCTCCTCCTCCTCCTCCTCCCCGTCCTCCTCATCCTCCTCCTTTTCTAATCCTCCCGCTTCCGCTCCCTCCTTCCCACTCCCTTCCCCGCCTCCTCCTCCTCCTCCTCCTCCTCCTCCTTCTCCTCATCCTCCTCTCTCCTCCCTCCTCCCTCCTTTTCCCTCCGCCCACCTCCGATCCTCTGATGCTGCTGTTGCTCCTCCTCCTCCTCGGGCTGCTCTTCTTCTTCTTCTTCTTCTTCTTTTCTTATTCTTCTTAGTACTATTATTATCATTATTTTCCTCCTCCTCATCCTCATCCTCATCCTTCGCCTCTTCCTCCTCCAGGGGGTGACCACTGGGTTGCTCCAGAAGTGTGATGCGACCCCACGAAGACCAGACGGGGGATCGATGTGGTGCCCCGAATTTCCCGTGGTCTCCCGTGGTGTCCTATGGTGTCCCGTTGAGTGAGATCGATCGTGAGATCGATCGTGAGACCGATAGTGAGATCGAGAGGTGTCCCGCGGTGTCCCGTGGTGTCCCGTTGAATGAAAAAAAAAAAAAAAAAAGAAAACGAAAAAAAAAAAAAAACAAAAAAACATTCATAAAAAATAGAAAAAAAAATAAAAAAAAAAAAAAAAATAAAAAAAAAAAAAAAAAAAAAAAAAAAAAAAAAAAAATAAAAAAAAAACAAAAACAAAAAAAAAATTAAAAAATAAGAAAAACAAAAACAAATCAAAAAAAAAAAAAAAAAAAGAAAAAAAAAAAAAAAAATAAAAAAAAAAAAAAATAAAAAAAAAAAAGAGTGAGATCTATAGTGAGATCGACAAGTGTACCGTGGTGTCCCGTGGTGTCCCGTGGTATCCCGTGGTGGCCCGAGGTGTACCGTGGTGTCCCGTTGAGTGAGATCGATCGTGAGATCGATAGTGAGATCGACAAGCGTCCCGTGGTGTCCCGTGGTGTCCCGTGGTGTCCCGTTGAATGAGATCGATAGTGAGATGGATTGAGTCAGAGGTTGGTTCCCCCCCTCTCGCCCCCCCCCA